TTCTATTTTTAGAACATGTATATATTACAATATGTTATATAACCCATGCAAAAGACGCGCTTTTTGAGCTTTTTATTATTTTATTAAAATGATATGAACATGAGTTGTTATGTATTGAGATTATTATACGATGTTCATATCATGCCAACATATTTATAATATACAATTCAGAATGAACATTGATATATAATATTATGATAGTCATAACTGTTTTATTATCACTCGTTATTCATTTCATTCATATATTCGATTTTTTATGCTTTTCTTTTCAGATAGTCTATCTTCTCATGTTTCTACTTTCGGTAGGTTCATATCAAGTAGGATACACCCGTTCCCATCTGAACACGGAAGTAAAGATGCTTAGAGCCTGTTTAGTACCATTATGTTCACACAGATGGGAACGTCAGGTAATCTACCTTTTTAAGTTTTAGTTGTTCTATTTTTAGAACATGTATATATTACAATATGTTATATAACCCATGCAAAAGACGCGCTTTTTGAGCTTTTTATTATTTTATTAAAATGATATGAACATGAGTTGTTATGTATTGAGATTATTATACGATGTTCATATCATGCCAACATATTTATAATATACAATTCAGAATGAACATTGATATATAATATTATGATAGTCATAACTGTTTTATTATCACTCGTTATTCATTTCATTCATATATTCGATTTTTTATGCTTTTCTTTTCAGATAGTCTATCTTCTCATGTTTCTACTTTCGGTAGGTTCATATCAAGTAGGATACACCCGTTCCCATCTGAACACGGAAGTAAAGATGCTTAGAGCCTGTTTAGTACCATTATGTTCACACAGATGGGAACGTCAGGTAATCTACCTTTTTAAGTTTTAGTTGTTCTATTTTTAGAACATGTATATATTACAATATGTTATATAACCCATGCAAAAGACGCGCTTTTTGAGCTTTTTATTATTTTATTAAAATGATATGAACATGAGTTGTTATGTATTGAGATTATTATACGATGTTCATATCATGGCCAACATATTTATAATATACAATTCAGAATGAACATTGATATATAATATTATGATAGTCATAACTGGTTTATTATCACTCGTTATTCATTTCATTCATATATTCGATTTTTTATGCTTTTCTTTTCAGATAGTCTATCTTCTCATGTTTCTACTTTCGGTAGGTTCATATCAAGTAGGATACACCCGTTCCCATCTGAACACGGAAGTAAAGATGCTTAGAGCCTGTTTAGTACCATTATGTTCACACAGATGGGAACGTCAGGTAATCTACCTTTTTAAGTTTTAGTTGTTCTATTTTTAGAACATGTATATATTACAATATGTTATATAACCCATGCAAAAGACGCGCTTTTTGAGCTTTTTATTATTTTATTAAAATGATATGAACATGAGTTGTTATGTATTGAGATTATTATACGATGTTCATATCATGCCAACATATTTATAATATACAATTCAGAATGAACATTGATATATAATATTATGATAGTCATAACTGTTTTATTATCACTCGTTATTCATTTCATTCATATATTCGATTTTTTATGCTTTTCTTTTCAGATAGTCTATCTTCTCATGTTTCTACTTTCGGTAGGTTCATATCAAGTAGGATACACCCGTTCCCATCTGAACACGGAAGTAAAGATGCTTAGAGCCTGTTTAGTACCATTATGTTCACACAGATGGGAACGTCAGGTAATCTACCTTTTTAAGTTTTAGTTGTTCTATTTTTAGAACATGTATATATTACAATATGTTATATAACCCATGCAAAAGACGCGCTTTTTGAGCTTTTTATTATTTTATTAAAATGATATGAACATGAGTTGTTATGTATTGAGATTATTATACGATGTTCATATCATGCCAACATATTTATAATATACAATTCAGAATGAACATTGATATATAATATTATGATAGTCATAACTGTTTTATTATCACTCGTTATTCATTTCATTCATGTATTCGATTTTTTATGCTTTTCTTTTCAGATAGTCTATCTTCTCACGTTTCTACTTTCGGTAGGTTCATATCAAGTAGGATACACCCGTTCCCATCTGAACACGGAAGTAAAGATGCTTAGAGCCTGTTTAGTACCATTATGTTCACACAGATGGGAACGTCAGGTAATCTACCTTTTTAAGTTTTAGTTGTTCTATTTTTAGAACATGTATATATTACAATATGTTATATAACCCATGCAAAAGACGCGCTTTTTGAGCTTTTTATTATTTTATTAAAATGATATGAACATGAGTTGTTATGTATTGAGATTATTATACGATGTTCATATCATGCCAACATATTTATAATATACAATTCAGAATGAACATTGATATATAATATTATGATAGTCATAACTGTTTTATTATCACTCGTTATTCATTTCATTCATATATTCGATTTTTTATGCTTTTCTTTTCAGATAGTCTATCTTCTCATGTTTCTACTTTCGGTAGGTTCATATCAAGTAGGATACACCCGTTCCCATCTGAACACGGAAGTAAAGATGCTTAGAGCCTGTTTAGTACCATTATGTTCACACAGATGGGAACGTCAGGTAATCTACCTTTTTAAGTTTTAGTTGTTCTATTTTTAGAACATGTATATATTACAATATGTTATATAACCCATGCAAAAGACGCGCTTTTTGAGCTTTTTATTATTTTATTAAAATGATATGAACATGAGTTGTTATGTATTGAGATTATTATACGATGTTCATATCATGCCAACATATTTATAATATACAATTCAGAATGAACATTGATATATAATATTATGATAGTCATAACTGTTTTATTATCACTCGTTATTCATTTCATTCATATATTCGATTTTTTATGCTTTTCTTTTCAGATAGTCTATCTTCTCATGTTTCTACTTTCGGTAGGTTCATATCAAGTAGGATACACCCGTTCCCATCTGAACACGGAAGTATACTTTATTAATTTAAACCTTTGTGAGTTAAAAATCCAAATCAAAACAAACTCGACTCACTTTGTTCGTCTTCGTTTCTTTAACAATTTGTATTTTTAACTCACTGTTTAAATTTTTGCAAAATTTTTTTTATTTATTATTATTTATATTTATTTTTCATTAATTTTTTTTTACTTTTTTTTAATTTTTTTTTACTTTTTCAAATTATTAAATATTTTTTTTATTATATATTTTTTAATATTTTGACAACTTTCATTATTTTAATTTTAATTGAACTGTAAATACAATTATTTTGGGACCTACATTGACCACCACCACCTCTTAAAATAGATTTATTTTTTCTATTTCGAATCATATTCAAATTAAAATTATAGTAAATAGGAAACTGGGATAATATTAGGTCTGGTTCCCGAATTCAAAAAATGCCGATAATTCACCTTGATTTAGTGGAAACCGAGTAAGACGGAGCATTGAAAAGAAGGCTCTGAAGACACACTCAAACAGTCTGTTTGTGCACCGTTTCACCCACTTTCCAAGTCCTCCCTTGGCGCGGATCCCCCTGACCCCCCGCAAGCGGGGGGGAACCACATCCGCGTCCACACAGTACGGACAAGGAAAGTGGGCGATATGGGGACGCACAAACAGTGGCTGAAAAGTGGACTTCCTTCAAAAAACACTTGCGGCAAATATTTTTTTTGGTAAAGGTGGTGGTGGTGGTCAATGTAGGTCCCCAATTATTTTACGACTTAATTTTTATTTTTATTTTTAATATATTAATTTAATTTGTATTTAAATCAAACGAATATAAAGCTTAGATGTTATAATTAATTTGTTTTTATGTTTTAGATATTTTTTGATAGTTCAAATTTGTTGTTATAAATTAATATCTCAAATATTTTATTTATGGTTTATTATTTAGAATTGTGTTGTATCTTTTTTAAAAGTGACTTTATAATTTATTAGAATATCTGTTATTTTTAGATCATTATTTAAATCATCATTTTAATTTGAACAAACATTGAATTATTTCAATTGATTTGTATTTTGTTAACACAACTAAAACAACGAAATTTTTTATATATTAAAACAGTTAATTTTATTAAATTTATTTAAAAAATTTAATCAAAAGTCTAATTAATTTTTCATTGTTTGGATTTGGCGTTTTGAGCTTTCCTAACAATGCTCTCTATATTTTGATTTATACAAACCCAAGGCAAATTTTCTACATTGATAAAATCTGGTAATTATACCTAATATCATCTTAATTTCCTACATACTACAATTCTAATTTACATATTATATTTTATAAAAATTGTTTATTCATTTTTTATTTTTTACAAAAAAATGGAAATTGGGCTTATCATGTAGAAAGTCAACCTTATAAACACACCAAAATAAAACTTGTTCATTTCAACACAAATATTGGAAATATTAGGTCCACACTTTATAAATGCCGTCAGTAAGCGACTCAAAATGTCCAATGAAAAAAAAAACAAATTAATTTATTTTTTGGATATTCAAACCATTAATTTTTAACAAAATTACTTATTGTATGGTGTTTATTTACTAATCCATTTTGAAAATGATTATTTCTTTAAATAATAAAAACATGGTAAAATTATTGTACTTTGTATAGTTTTTGGAATCCCAAAAACACAAAAATAACAGAAAGTGTTTTTTCATTCACAGAAAAAACACCAAAAATAGTGGGAAGACATCCCGAATCCACAAAGTATTTCTTTAACAAATCTCGCCAGTCTTTCGTGCACTTATTCGTTCTTTCTCTTAAAAATAGTAAAATATATAAACAAAAATTTATCATTTAAATTTCTCCCTCTTTAATTTCCTCCAAATTCATCAATTTCAACATTCTGTTGATCCTCTCAATAAGCCACTTTTTGTTATCAAATGCAATCCAGTCTTTGGGGAACATATCTAAATTGCCAATGTAAGCACCCAACACTGCTCCAACAACTGCTTTATTGGTGTCTGCATCTCCCGCTTCATAGGTCACAGCCATCAACACACTCTCAAATATTTCCTTGTTACTTTTCCCATTATTTTTCAATTTCTCTGCCTCTTTAACCCCCCACATTGCACATCCAACTGGCTTATACGTGTACCCAATCGAATTATTTAAATCAAGTTGTTCCAAACTCTTCGGATTTGTGAATTTCTCAAAATCGGAATAAAACTCCTTGTTACCTTCTATGTACTTTCTACCTCTTTCTCGTGCAAATTCAATCGCTTTTTGACAATCACACTCGCCTCGTAGGAACTCCCAAATCGAATAAACTTTTATAGAAACAGAGGCCTGGCACCGTGAGTCGAAGTGAGTCATTTTTTTAAATAGTGTTTGCCATTTTTCCCAACTTTTCGATGTTTTAAAAATAAGGAATAGCAGCCGTTGAAGTCCTCATGACACTCCCATTAGACGCACGCTTGTCTTCCCTCTTTTCCCAAATTTCCATTAATTTCAAATAGGTTTTTTAAATTGTTAGACGACAAAATCGCTTTAAAATTTGCTCCAACACCTAAGGCACCCATATCGCCCACCTCTGAATATCCAAAATTGAACCAATAGAGATGTCGCGTTGCAAAGTCTTCTGTAACACAATTTCCATTGTTTGCTACTAAAGAGTCGAGTATTAATAACGACTGATCCGTGTCGTCAGTCCAGTCCAAACATTTCCAGTCAAAATTCATCCACCGAGAGAGGTGCTGGTCTATCAAATAACGCGAATGATTGATTTTCTTGTGTTTATAAAACAACTCGGCTTGTTCCTTCGAGAAAAATTCAATCGAGAGACCAACAGTGTCGCCGACGGCTTGACCAAGAATTATGGAAATTATTTATAAACAAATGTTTGGGTATTCCTTTGGAAAAGTGAGAGGACTAAATTCCTTTGGCAATGGATTTGGATATTCTGTGAACGGGAGGTAACGATTCAGACATTCCATTTGTGCTTACTGTACAACAATGCCTGTTGTATACGAAAATGGACTTTTCTGATGGGTCAGCATGGACGTATTGTTCATTTCTTTGAGGTAAGTTGACATATCCATTTGTGGACTTTTCAATGTTAAAAATTTAATCGGTTTTATTATATTATAGAGTTTGTTTGTTCAAAAAATTCAATCGTTCACAAATATTAGTAAAATATAATATTTATTGCTATAATTTGAAAAACATTCAGTATTAAACCAAAAACAATAAATAAAATTTCAAAAAATTCAAAAACAAACAATAAAATATTAATAATACAGTCAAACCTCTCAATTTTGACATTTTTAGAAATTGAAAACCTTTTGATTTTGACATTTCAAGATAACAGAACAACAAGAAAAAACGCAAAAAAGATTTTTAAAAACTTTAAACTTGATAAACAAACACATGAAAAGAATTAAAGATCACAAACCAGTTAAAAGAAAACTCACTTCTTTAACTGTTGATAAAAAAGCTGATATTATTAAAAAGAAACTAGTTTTGACTGATGAACGTGTTGCAGAATGGGCATACAGTACATACAGCTTATCCAAAAAACCTTCTCGGAGTTGGATCACCGGGCTTTCAATTGACAAACCACTTGTTGACAAAAGATTGCTAAGTAAAGTTAAATACCCACTTTTTGAACAAAATCTGATGCTTGCCATAAACATGCTATTGGAAAATAACACACCGATACATGACGATGTTATTATATACTTGGCCAACAGAACAAAGCTTAATATGAGTCAAGACAGTTATTTGATCAATCTTACTTTATCAAACGGGTGGTTAGATTCTTTCAAAAACGACACTCTCTCAGTATACACAAGCAGTATGGAGAAGCTCCTGTTGTTGACTTATCAATATGTCGTGATTACATCGAAACAATTCGAGTTATTGTAAAACACTTCCTTGATACTTATGGCCAAGAATCAATCTTCAATGGAGATGAAACTGGTCTTAACATACACTTTCTCGAACCATCATCGTTGAACATCAAAGAAGGAAAGGAAATTGGAATCGAGTGTGATAAAATACGGTTTACTGTATTTCTTGTTACAGATGTTACTGGTAAAAACCGAAGAAACCCAGTGGTAATTGGCAAGTCAGTAAAACCAAGAGGAATGACAAAGCAGATAGAACAGAAAAACCACATCATTTATTTGGATCAACAAAATGCTTGGATGAGCACTGTAATTTTTCAAAGATACATACTGGATTGGGATGCCGAAATAACCAACTCTCCAAATCCACACGAAATTATGTTCATCATTGACAACTGTTCAACACACAATTTGTTTATAAAAGTCGACACTGAAATCAAAGTTATGAAACTTAACTATATATTCGTGATCTTTCTTCCGCCTAACGTAACTTCGGTTTATCAGCCTCTCGACATGGGTATCATATACACTTTCAAGAAAAATTACTGGAAGCTATTTCTGCGCAACTTGGTCAATGTCGTTGAACACAATGTTAAAAATGTCACTTCTGATTCAAAGAAAGAAACCAAAAAAGCTAAGAAGCTTCCTTTTGTAGAGTGTTTGCCTTTTATTGACAGAGCTTGGTTGAGTGTAGAAAACAAAACAGTAACCAAATGTTGGTATAAAACCACACTGTTGGGAGAACCTCGAGAAAGTTACATTGATGAAAACAACGAAAACGACATTGAAATACAACGTTCGATTGAAAAGCTAAGTAAAAGTGGTGTTTAATCGAAAAAAGTTCAGATGAAGAATTTGTAGATAGAATGGATGAAAAGATACCACCTTTTATAACAAATAATGAACTTGAAATATTGGATTTTTCGAAAGAGACAACACCATTGGGAAATGTAACTACATTTGAAGATGAATTGTATACAGATGCCGATTCGTTATTGAAAAGAGTTATGGATTCAGAAATGCCAGAAAAAGAGAAAATAACAATTCTTAATTTTATATCAAAAGTGTTTAAAACTGCTTCTGAATACGTTTAAATGGGTTTTACCATAATTTAGTTTTTGCCTTGTTTTATCTTTGCGACTTATTACTGGACCTTTGAATTTTGACAATAGTATTTTTATTAATAATAAATAATTAAAAATGTCAGAATCAAAAGGTGTCAGAATTGAAAGGTTTGACTGTAATAAGAAATAAATAATAAAAATTATAACTAATTATATGGTTGAAAAATTGTAATTCACTTCAATAAAATTGACGTTTCGAATACAAAAACAACTTTTTGTTTAGTGCTTGTGTCAAACACTTTACACGGTCAATTACAACTTAATGTTTTTTTGGAAATTGAAAATAAAGATTTGGCAAACACAAAAAAGAGTACAATTGAAAGTTATCAAAAATATTATTTAGTCAAATACACAGTCGATACAACACAATTCAACAATCGAGAACTTAAATGTGCGATGAAACGCAACATTTTATTTGACATTTAAAATATAACAACAAATTTGAATTTAAAACATCGTCAAGTTAACCACAAAACGTTGTGAATGTTCAAAAATCTTGAACTCATACAATCTACCTTTGAATTGAATTAATTTCACGTGAAAGAGACAATGTTTAAAACTGACCGAAGTCGATTAACAACTTATAATTGTATTTGGTACAAATATGGATTCAATTCCAAATAAAGGTGTTTCGAAATATTAATCAATTTCTTTGGCTTGGTAATTATTATATAATAATAAATATAGAAATTAATAATAAGTAGTTGTTTTCAATAAAAGACGGTTAATCTTATTAAGCTGGAGTTTTTCCACTAACTCTACTTGTTAACGATAATTGTCTTTTCTAATATTACACAAACAAGAAAAATACCAAATATAAATTTTAATGGAATAAACATCCTTCAAAACACTCTGCACCCAGTTTCACACTTTTTGAGATATTAAGATAACTCAAACAACGACAGTCTTTAAATGCAAATATTTTAATTTCCTTTAGTTTTTGGTTTAACGCCACATTACTTAACATTTTACACCCCATAAAAGTTGAATCTCCAATTTCTTCCAACTCTTCATTCATCACTATTTCACTCAATTTATAACAAAACGAGAACGCGTAGTTTCCAAGATTTGTAATTCCACATGGAAGTTCGATATTTTCCAAATTGCTACAATTTTGAAACATTCGATTTTTAATAGTCACCAATTTTGTCGTTTTAAACAAAACAATTTCGAGTTTGGAACAATCAGAAAATGCGCCTGAATCTATTTCCTCGACATTTTCTAATATTTCAATTTTGCGGAGTGAGCTACACCCAGAAAAACACGACTCCCCAATATTTATTAAATACTGTGGTAATTCAACTTCACTAAGTTTTGAACACCCACAAAATGTCGTGTTTTCTAGTTTTGTAATAAACTTGGGTAACACTATTTGTTCAAGTGAGGAACACCAATTGAATGCGTCTTTCCCGATGAAAATGACATTATGGGGTATAGAAATGTTCGAGATGTTACAACATCCATAAAAGCATGCGGCACCAAGACGAGTTACTGTTGAGCAAAGAGAAACAGATGAAAGAGCAAAACATCCACGAAAACACCCATCACTAATTGAAGTCACTAGAGGTGGAATCGAGACAATTTCTTTGGAATAATAACCATTCACTACGTATTCAACAAATGAATATGTAACAGGTTCTGGTAATGCGTTTGGGAGACTGGAATGTATAACTTTATAATGGACAATTTTTTGAAAGAAAGCTTTTTCTGGGAAAAAATCATCACAAGGAGAATATAAATGAATTGTTTCTACATTTGAAAATAACGCTAAATTATTTTCTGAAACAGAAATTGGGTTAAAATGGAAATTGTTTGTAAAGTTATAATACTTTTTACACACCATTTCCAAATTCAAAAAGTCGTTTGAAGTTTTAAAGTACTTCGCAACAATTAAAATATGAAAACATTCAATATGTATCATCGTTTGAAATGTGAGTTTGATTTTTTAAAAATACTGATTATAATTTATAATATTTTTAGATGAAAAAAGATTACAGATTTATTTTGAAACTTTGAAAAACTGGTCGAAAACTCAAGTTTAAATATAAAAATAACACAAAAAAAACAACAAATGTATATACAGTAATAACATACCACTAAATTTGATTGGTTCGGATTGGACTTTTGAATGTTTCAATTTTGATGGTATTACAATACTATTCGGTGGTGCATCGATCTATGATCACTATTTTTGTATGTGTAAAAGCGTAATAATTCAATTCAATGTAAATCATTTTCTAGAGATTGTTTTAAAAAATTAAAAATTGTAATATATTATTTAATTTAATGTAACATCAATAAATTGTTGATGTTTTTGTTGGCAGCATTCTGAGTTGTGTTTATTATAATATCATTAAATGTTACATAATATTATAAAACGAAAAATTTCACATTATAGTTTATTAAAAATTTATTAAAATAATTTAATCCAAAATACAAAAAGATTTCAAAAATAATATCTCTTAAATGCGTAGAGTCAGTCTAACAACGTTGTCTGTTCCCCAAATGTTGTCTTTTTGACAAAAAATAATTGATTTTTGTTTCAAAAAAAACGGGAATTAAATAAAAAAGAAAAAAATTGTGAAAAATATTAAAACTACAATTTTGGGTTTTTCAAAAAATTTCCTAAAATATTCCATTTATAATGGTCTAAAAATCGGCAGACAACTTTACAAACAAGACAACGTTTAGCAAATAACTCTAGATTATTTAAACTTAATTAATGATAAGGTTGAATTCGTTATAAAACAGTAATTATAATTAATTGGCTAAAATTGCCCAATAAAATATACAATAATTTGAAAAAAAACAGATAAAAAAATAAATAAAAATATAAAATTGAATTTTTAAACTCAATTGTTTATGTATTAAAAAAAATAAATAAAATATATTGATTTTTTGAATAAATTTTTAAAATATTAATAATATATTAAAATTAATATTGTTATAGATAAAATATTATATTTTAAAATTTATATTAATGTTAAAATTTTCATCTTTACTATTGCTGTGTTTGTATTTTTTTCTTACTTTTTACTCATATTTTCTCTTAAACATTAATTTTGATTGTTTTTTAATTGAATTCAATTTTTTTGTTGAATTTATTTTTATTATTCATTTTGTAATAAATATCAACTTTAAACATATCCTTTCGTCTTTGAGTTTCAATCCCGTTGACGATTACAATTCAAGTCTCCATTTTTGAATTTACATTCAAAATCGCAAATTTATTCAGAATGAATATTTTTTCTTTTTACAACATCATGCTGACTAATTTGTCATATTTGTTTTTTGAATTCTATTTTTATAAGTTTTTCATGATTATTTATCCAATTGTATTATTTCCTTACATATTTTATATATTATAGTTTATGATAAAAAGTGTAAATTCGATAATTTTTTGTTTCCTTTATTTCTTAATCTTTATTTCCATAACATTTTGTATTTATTTAAATATATAATGTTTTAATGTTTTTTATACTTTAATTGTTTTAATTTTTTGAAGATTATAAAAATAAAATAATATTTAAAAATTATTTGTAATTTATTTCGAATAATTAGACAAATTTACAACTTAACTAAGGTAGAAAACAAAATGTTTAAAAGCATTAATTTACAAAAATCTTCTTAATTGTTTTAAAATATATACTTAATTCTAATTCATTTTAAAATACAAATAATGAGTTTTTACTTTAACATAAATTAATCAAATTGGTAATAATAATTTGATTCTTTGGTTAAAACGTCATCTCTTTTGTGAATTCCACAGAAACATCCCATCCACAGACAACAATCTGGACACAACAAAGGACATTTATTTCCATCTTTAATTCCATTAAAAAAACTAGATAAATAAGTAAATACAACACCAACAACGAGTGGAATAAACGCCTTCATATAATCCATTTCCAAATTACCCTCATTATATTTCACAACATAACACAAACGCAAAGTTGTCAATAAAAGTGCGAACGCAACAATTCCAGCAACCGACACATAAAATGATTCGAAACACCCCGGAATACCCTTTTCTTTGTAATTTTTCCCAAAAATAGTATCATTATTTTCGCCTCCATTGATTCGGAATATGAACATAATGAATATGGCCAACCAACAACATCCGATGATCAACTCTACAATTACAATCAGGACAAATATTAAAGAAATGAAAACGATACCACTTGTGTACCCAAAGATATCAGGTCTTATCAGTTTCACAAATAAAAGAATAATTTAAATGATGACACCTGGACACATTAAAACGGACTTACACAACGAAAAACAATGAAAATAAATACGAACTTTTGTTGGTTTTGTTGTATTTTGTTTCGCATCAATGGGAAGATATTCTTCGTCTTCTTTCTCACAAAAATTTACAAGAAACCCACACGAAAGAAAATTCACTACAAATTGTACTAAGAGTGGTAATAAAACATATGATATAGAAAATATGTCAAATGAGTATATAACAAACAAGACCGTTGTTATAAAAACAACGAATGGAAATAACCCAGTTGCTCCAATATGTGGAAAATTCACAAGGACTGCAAGAAAGTATAAATAGAGTGGTGTCGGGTAAAATACAAGTTCAGTGGGTTGCTTTATATTGATATCGGTAACATGTATCATACAATTCAACCAATATACTCCGATAAAAACGTCAATTGAAAAAGGGAGTAATAACAAAGAGATATATCTAGTGTTAATATCAATAACACCATCAAGGGAAAGGGGGTATAACACACTAAACGCTTATAAACATGAAAACGTGAATACATCTACTATGTGATTTGTAAATATAAAAAATAAGAGTGCGTATAACTGCTTTTTAAAATGAATAGTCCATTTTTTGCTTCTGCACACCGTGTTCGATATTTGAGCTGCATTATTGATGTTTTGAAGTGTATAAAAAGTAATAAATGAATTCTATCAAAAGCTTGTTTGATGGAAAGAGTTTTATATATCATGTCATCGTTCTGTAATTGAGAGTATGTGGAACATGTTTCTGTTATATTGAGAAATAAACGAATATCACTACGAAGTGCTATTTCTTTCACAACTGAGAGAGGTAGTGTTATATGAGTCGACATCTTTGTTTTATTTCTTATTATTAGTTACTTAAAACGATTTTTATAGTAAATATAATAATTTTATTTTGAAAAAAACTTGAAATACTTTTATACTATCTCTATACTATTATTATTAACATTTTTGTATAATTTCAAACGACTCAGATGTTAAAATATATAGTTAAATTATAATATAATATAAAAAATATTATTTTATTAACATAATAGTATCTGAATTATGATATTTATGTAAATCAAAAAAATCATGTTTTTGTGTTTAACACTTTCAAAACCATTTAATAATTGGTTTTGATGAATGTTAAGATTATATTATATTATGTTATGTTCGTTAAAGTTGGTTTTTTAAAAAAATAACTTACATAATTTATCGTTTTTATTGTATTTTAAACAACAACAAATACTAATAAATAAGTTTTTTGTAACTACAAAAAATAAAAAATGGTTATAAAAGACGGATATCACATGATGATAGTTTCGAAATATTTTAAGACCATTAATGACTTCGTTTCACTTGAATTAGTGAATACCAAATACAGAGGAACCATGGAGAAGTTTCACTTCAACCCAATACCACTCGACACAACATCAATAAAGTATTTTGTGAACATTGAGACATTAAACATTTGGAATACAAAAGAAGAGACCTTTGGTAACGATTTTCATAAATCAGTTGAAATTACTAGAAAATCTAAAAATCCAAATAAATACATATTTTTCAAAATAGTAGTGTGGTACAATGTCGATTATAACACTTTCGTGTTAAACAAAAATTCTAATTTCTTATTCAAAGATGTTACATTCACTAAGAATGACAGACTAAAATATGGATCAACAATTCCAAAAGAAGTTGCATCACTTGGAGTTGATACTTTTCGGTCTTTAAATTCCATCGACTTTATAATTCTTCCCCAAAACGTCACACAAATTCATGAAAGGTGTTTCGAAGGTTGTTCAACACTAACTTCTCTCAAAATCACAACAAATCTGATGAAAATAGAACCTGGAGCATTTTCAATGTGTCGAACTCTGAGAAGAGTATTTTTACCATTTCAAACACAATATCATTCCACAGCACAATCTGATAATATAAATGGTTTGTGTATAAACACTATATGTTTATAACAATTTAAATTATTATTAATAAATTAATTATACTATAATACTATAATAAAACAACTCACGTGAAGTAAACATTAATAATTATAATCAACCAAAGAGTTACTTGGGTGGGTGTTGTTTCAATTGTTGTGAATCACTTGTAGAAGTTGAGCTTCCTGATTTTTATGAGCATTATGGAAGTGATTGCTTCTCAAAATGCTCGAGTCTTCAAACTATTAAAATATCGGAGAGTGTCACACATCTCAATGATTATTGTTTCAATCAATGCATTTCATTGAGTATAGTGGTGTTTAACAAAAACTTGCGATTTATTGGAAAAAGTTGTTTTGCGTACTGTTCTTCACTCTGTGAAATAAATCTCCCACCAACAGTAGAAAAGCTCGAAACACTTTCATTTATTGAATGTAAAAATTTGATGGTATTAAGTGTGCCTGATAATACAACGTATATTGGTGAATACTCCTTTGACCACTGCAACAAACTTTCAAATATAACATTTAACACAAAACTCGTCGAAATTCGAAATAACTCTTTTTCTTATTGTGATTGTCTGACAAATGTATTTATACCAAAGAACATTAAGATTATTGAAAAATATGCGTTTCAAAAATGTACAAATTTGAATATTATTTTCAAATAGAATAACGTAATTTACAATAAACAATGCTTTTAAACGTATTTAAAAATCATTTGAACGCATATAAAAGTTCATGTGTTGTTGTCTTTAAACAAATTTCTATGTTTAACTTTCGTTGTTATATTTAAAGATTTATATTTTATAATTATATTAAAATTACAAAAAGTTGAAAATAAATTTAAGCGGAATTAAAATCTCTTGTTTATTTAATAATTTATGTTTTTTAAGTTAATTAATAAAAAAATACACGAACCAAAAAAGAAAATACATCAAAACTTGAATTAATGAATTAATATATCAGTAAGAACTCGTAATTCGAAAAACTAAAGCATTATTTTAAGTTTTAAGTGTTAAATAAAACAAAAATATGTTATTTTGTAAACGTTTTAAACAACAGTTCAAAATTTATATTTTTGTGAAATTCATTATTAAAATATACCAAAATTGGTCTTATATCGTTATATGGTTGACAAGAAACGGCTTTTATTTTATATTAAATCGGTCATTAGGTAAAAAGAGGAAAAACATTTAACAATACGATGGTTTTTAAAATATCTTTCCGAAATATAACGTTTATCATGGTCCAAATTGTACCAGATTATGTTAGAGACAAGATAAGGTTTGTAGACTAACCGTACAATTAATTTTTATTTTTTGTGTGAAAACAAACAAAATTTATTGAATCTTGACATTTATATAAAACCATTTGATTAATTATAAATTGGCACAATAATTTAAAAAATTGTCACTAGAATTAGTTGATTGTTGTCTCATTCACAAAAATAATTGATTTTTATTTTAAAAAACGAAAAACAGGAAAAATATTTAGACTACAATTTTGGGAGTTTTCGAAATAATTCCTGAAATATTTCGCTTATAACTGTCCAAAAATTTTCAGACAACTTTTACCAAATCACTCTATAAAATAAAACCATAATTAAAGTCAAGACTCAAGCCGCAATTATTAAATAATTTTTTAAAACAACTTAAATAAACAAATGGGAGTTGTACATCTCGAGCCAATCTACTTAGCAAATGTTGCGATATATATTGACAGGTTTTCTTCATTTGAAACATTTCAGTGTGTTTCAAAAAATTGTGTGACCGCACTTGAAATGCTTCACATAAATCCACCGAAGCTGTGTGTTGGGATGAAGTACCTTGTACGGGTACTCCCTCAACTTAATACAGTTTTCTTCTCTATGGAAAACGCCACAAATGAACTGAAAGGCGACTTAATTAACAAAGTTCGATGGATTGATTCGACAAAGGAAACAACACGATGTGAAAAAATTGCACCACAGTTTGAAGACAAAATTCAAAAGTTGAGAATTTTCCCGTACGACATTAAAAATTTAGCAAAATACTTTTACCTTAACTATTTAATTATCGAGCAATTTAATACAATAGATTTGGATAAATTAAAAGATGTGTTGAGTTTCAAAAACATTACAAAAGTCATTGTATATATCATCAACGAAAATTTAGAGAAAAAAGATATAAATTTAATAAAAACAATTTCGAGCAATTCACAAGCATGTCATCTTACTGTAGTCGCCAAAGACACTCCAAATTATGAAGACAAAAATTTGAGAATTTTACAAATCGATGTCAACGCTTTAAGAACAAGAAAAATAGAAATTAATTTGAACTCCAGTAAAGAACAAAATACAGATGAACAATTTAATGAAGACAATTTAGAAGTACCATTTATGATACAAGAAGAAATGCACTTTTCTTTTAAAATGCAAAGAAATGATTATGATTATAAAATAACTCAAATTGAAAAAATAGATGTTTTAGAAAGCATTTTTCTATCTGGAAGTGTGTCTAAAATCAAAGTTAATGTCATCGGTGATGCTTTTGACTCTGAGAAATTTCTAAAGAACTTCCACCATTTTGCAAACGACTTTCAAACCATAATGAATGAACATAGTAAAAACTACTATGTCTCTGAGGATATTTTTAATATGATAGGGGCACCTGATCTATTCCAGATTGACATCGACGCATTCATTGAAGGTAAAACTCTCATTTTTGACATCAATTTTATTGGGGATTTTAAAGAGAAAAAGTCGAAAAAATATGATGTTCAAGATGATATTATTAAAACCGAACGAAATAACAAGAACATTGAAAAATTGATGGAGGGGTTTGTTCTTAAAAACGAGATTTATAAAGGAGAAATAACGCTATTTGTCGATCTCCATGTTGAAAATTGTAAAGCCGACTTGAGCCACAAAAATGTAACTTTCGAGCTCAAATTTGGGAATTTTGAAAAGGAAAAGCCGAAGTTTGTGTTGAGAAAGGGTGGTTTATTGACTTCAAATTTCTATATATCGAAGTTGAGTATCAATAATTTAGTATTTAAAAGGGTGGATATCCCAAGTGTAAACACTTACGTCTTTAAAGGTGTGAAATACGAAATAAACAATTTTGATAACAAAAAGGAGTGTTTTGTGACATGTTTGTCTGATTGTAATTACACAGAACGACTTAAAAAAATCGACATCAATAAAACAATTGTTTTCCCACAAAACAAGACAATAAAATTTGAACCCAAATATATTTGTGATACAGTATTATACACTATTGACTATCGGGTTATGGGAAATATCCCAAAATTTGAGCTTGTTTTAACATTGATAAACAGAGATGATGAAAGTGTGAAACGGACATACTCTAAACAAAAAATAAAAGTTGAAAAAACCATAAAACAAGATGTTTCAGATGAAAGCGATGAAGAATATATTCAAAGTGAAGAAAGTGAAAATGAAAGTGTTGATGAAGCAGATAAATGCTATTTATGGGGTGGTGATTGATAAGTAACAATATTATTGAATATTCTTTGTTTTTATTTTATTTACGTTTATACCATATACCCCAGTAATTGTTATTAAAAAAGATAATAATTGGTATTTTATTAATAATAAAACCTCAAAAATATAAACAAATAAAACAATAATTATATTTAAAAAAACATAAATAAAAATAAAACTATTATTATCAAAAACGACAACGGCAGGATTTGAACCTACGCCTCAAATGAGAAATGATTTCGAGTCATACGCCTTGGACCACTCGGCCACGTTGTCTTAATTAATTTATAGATAGGTATATATATTTATTAACATTTAGAGAATAACAACAATCTAATTTTATTTTCATCATTTTTAATTACTTAAAAACTATTGTTTATTAGTATAATACTATTACAAATAATACTTTAAAATCGCTCACTTAGAATCCCAGTCGTTTTTGTTCGTCAACTTATCTTCAATACTGTCTGATATCTTCGATAATAAATCGTCGATTTCCGCTTGAGCAAATTTACTTTTAAATTTTCGATCCAATCCACCACCCACCGATTCTGGGAACAGTTTACCACCCAGCCATTCTTGTGCTCCAGAAGTAAGTCCCTCGAGCCCTCCTCCAATCAGTGAGTCACTTAATGTATCTTTGTTGATATCTCCCGTAGCCGCTGAGTATAATAAATTCTCGAGAGCTCCTGTGCCTCCAATCGCAAGTCCTGAGTATACTGTGCCAAGTCCACTTGTTGCAATTGCCCCTTTAATAGCACCAGCACCAGACTTAATAAGTACTGCAGTCCAATTGATGTCATCTCCATTTTTTAGTTGTTGATACACTTCCAACCCTCCTTCAAGCATTACACCAGCTCCAACAAGAACATAAGGCGCTGCTGGTGGGAAGAAGACTGAAATTCCAATTGATGCGATTGTGATACCTCCAATGATTGCAATTTCACCCCAATCTATTTTTTTAACTGACTATACCGAAAATGTGGGTCTGGGCTTTCACAAGATTTGTACTCTGAAGAGGGAGCCATGCACTCAGTTCATGAAGAAAGCTGTTGTACTCTGATTGACAAAAAGCCATGTCTGAACACTTCTTAATGGAATTCTCAAGTCGACTGAAAAAAACGCTCCAAGCCGTTTGGACCATCTCCAAAGCGATGTCCTGGAACTTTTCTGGGTTTTGAATTTTCGAGAGTCGATTCACAAAGATATCTAAAACAATTGAGACCGTCACACCAAATGGAAACATGTTATCTCCCAAACCATATTTATCTTTTCCGTTATAAATCCACTTGAAATTTGTTCTGAGGTATTCAGAGAAATACAATTCAAGTTTGGCCAAGTTGTCATTGCCAACTTCAAATTTAGGAATCTTGTAAAACAAATCTTTGTCCGTAAGGTATATGGTAACGGTTCCGGGCTGCCCTTGTCTTCCAGATCTCCCAGCAGCTTGTTCTAATGCTCTCTGGTTTGCCATTTGAAAAGGAATAATTACATGAAGACCGCCCGATGATAAAGACTGCTTTGAAAGTTGATGTCAACCCCTCTCCCGGCTGCAGAAGTTGCTATGGTGACTCTTTTTGACTCTCCTTCTTGTGTTATAGATACTCTATCTGCTGGTGGATTCACTGCAGTTATTACACTTGATTCTTTGTATATTTTCTCTACAAACTCGTTAACTCTATTAATAGAATCCATGATAACAAGTACTAATCTTCCTCGTCTTGTTTCATTTATAATTTCTTTGTATATCTTTACATAAATTTGTACAAGTGAATTTGGTAGTTGAACCATAATCACATTTTCTGTGAACAGAAGTGACGTGGTACTTTAAAGATATTGACACCATATTCTCGATTCAGCATTTGTTGTTCATCAGCACTACCAATTTTTCCAGTCACTTTTCGATGTTGTGATACAAATTGAAATATCCATGTTGTGTAATTTGGCTTATAGAAACTGATGGACTTTTTGGAGTCAATCCTTCCTTTATCTCAATCATTTCATGGATGTAATTGTTTATCTGCTCCCCTTTCTCTTGAAGCCTGTGTTCGAGTAAATTATAACTATTTCTCCATCTTCTATAATGTAATCTGTGTTCTTGATATTCATTTCAGCAGTCTTTGCGGCAAGTTTGAGTAGATCAACTTCATCATCATCGAAATTACCACACTTTGGGAAGTAGTATTTCAACACTTTAACTATTTCAGGAACTGGACAGTTGCGCAAGATAAACACTATCTTGAGTACATCACTTGAAAATGCCAATTTGATGTTTTTTGTGATAATTGCATGAGACATTGACTCATCAAGTAACATATTGTCAAATTCATCATCAACAACATCATAAGGACGATGTTTTAGAGATGTTGCTTTGAAATATAAATGCAAATACACAAGTTCAAAATTGGAGTTTGTCGAGTATACAATGTTATAATCAAATGCTTGACAATTAAATGACTCGAGTGTGTCTTTGTTGTCTTCATTTTCAACAAAAGTGTTGTTTGTTATAAAATTCTTGTCACTTTTGTGTTGAAAAGTACTCCACTGCTCAACCCAAAAAGATCTAAGTACATTTTCTGTTCATCTTGGTCTCTTCTTGCCAACTCCAAATTAGATGTGACAATGTTTGCTTTACGTTTAAACTTCACCAAAACAATACTCGGTGTTGTAATGATAAATGACTTTCCTTCACCTGTTTTGGTCTCACATTTTGCACCTTTGTGGTTCAATATTCAATCTGCACATATTAAAAAACATATTTAAATAAATAGTTTTTATTTATTTAAACTAAAAACGAATAAAACCTGAACAGGATGTGGGACAATGTGTTATCCATTAATTAATGCAATTTTGTCTGAGAGATAAATGTGTCAACAAACAGCTCCACAGACCTTGGCAATTTCACTGACTGAACTTGTTAGAGGAGAGAATGTGCTATTTATTCCACAATTGACTCTAATGTGTTATAACAATCTGACCAATTCTGCATATTTTGCGTTGCATCTATCATACCTAACCATATCATCCACACTTATTTCTCTTGTTTTTTGTGTCACATTAACATTCTGTGTTTCTTGAGTATTATTAATATTTTGAACACTTGCTTTCTTAACAAATTGGGGTTTTGGTTTGTCTTTTTATTTATTAATTGATCTCTCTAACAACTTTTAGAGTTCCAGTAGGTATGTACTCTCAATTTGATATTAAAAGGTTTTGAGGCAATTTTTCTTGTTCGAAGTTGTAATTGTATTGGATGTATCCTCTTTGTTTTGGGGTTTTTTATTCGTTTCTTGGTCTTTTGATAACAGATTACGGCAGGCAAAAGTATTACATCGTAATATTTTAAGTAACCCGCAACAGTCCAGAACAGTTGGATAAATACCAACGACGCTGTCTGGTAAAAAAGAGTATCTGTAAATTGTAAAACTGTTCAAATAAGTATCCACAATGTTGTGTGATATTACCAATGATAAAAAAATTTAACTTTGTAATTGGCAGTAGATTAAACCACTTATTTTCACATTTCAACTGTTTGAGAAACACACAATTATAAAAAAATAAATTAAATTATTAAAACAAATATTTAAAATCAAAACATTTATTGTAAATCCAAACAACATAATTATTAAAAAAATGATTTTGTATGTTTTTTAGAATATGACTATGTTATTTATATATATGAAATTAAATTATAATTTAATCAATATTTTCAAAACATAGTTATGTTATAATAAATAAAAATATATCTTGACAGTCTAAGTCACATTTGTAAATTAAAATTTTAGATATTTTTTTATTTTTTTCCATAAATTTGTTCCTTTTTATTATTAATATTAATATTAATATTAATATTAATTATTTAAACACAATAATGCCAAGATTATTAATTTGTTTATGATATTATTTAATTGTTTCAAAAAAGAAAAACATATAATTATTTTTAATTGAAATAGGTTAGTGTTTTTCAACTTTTTTTATCGATCATCACTATTTAACCAACGCTAAATGATATTTTTATTTTTGTTTCCCAAATAAAAACCATTTTTAATAAACCATATAAAACACATTTTATGTTTTTTTCCTTATATCAAAATATGGAAAAAAAGATAATTTGTAACTTTTTTAAATAATATTTTTGAAATTAATTAAATCAATTGTCTATTTATACATATTTATTCACAATCACTTTACAACCAATCATCTATTAATTAAGTTAGCAACATGAATATTTTTCTATAGATGTTGCTGACTTAAAATTAAAATGTTTATAATGTAATAAAATTATTTGTTTTAAAATATTTGAATGGTTATCAATTCTTTTAAAAATTAACATAAAGAAGCAAAATGTGAAAAGAAACTAACAAATATTTTTATAGCAACTTAAAAGAATTCAGTGATTATATATAATTTTTTAACTCGTGGGTAAATAAACAAATTAACTGGTTTTAAACAAGAAAAAATAAAAACTCGTTTAAATTAAGATAGAGAAGTGTTTAAAAACAAAATTATACTTCAAATGTCAAGTTTTATATTTCACTTTAGTTGTTAGAATTAATCGTTTGTAAAACTGAATGTTGTATATTTTTTGTATCATATATATTCTATAATTATTTTGTATATCATTGTGATTGTGAGAATACATCTAATTATTATAAAATTCTTTAATATTTTATTAAAAAACAATAAAAACGTAATAATCACTTATTTTTTAAAATCAGAAGACAACAAGACACATAACAGTTAAAAACTCCGCCAAGACACTATAAGCATTGTCTCGTTTATTAATTCCGATAGTTTCATAAGGTATTTCCGCCCAACAATTATATTTGTAAATTTTTCCTTCTTTTCTCATTTTGAAATCGTTGTTATTAACATCACAAAACATCGGATCTTGACTTGAATTAGTGTTCATCTCCCACCTTTTCATATCCTTGTTACACTGATCCGCAAAAGCATAATCCTTTTTGTTAATATATAAAATTGTTACGGTATATTTCAGTGTTCTTCATTAATAGCCAATGAATATTTTCTTCTTTCATCAACTCTTCCGACGTTTTTGGTAACAGTGCCCATTCAGGAAATTGGTCTTTCCACGGAGACGTATATCTATCAACTCCATTGTTCACCATCGTGTCCAGTAAATTGTAGAACATGTTTGGAGTTGTGTGATACCTTCTTGGTCCTCTAGAATCTCCCGAATACCCACTATCACGATTATAAAATTTGTTTTTATAAATAATGTTAGACCTCCCAGAGCCCTGCACAAGACCATAACCAACAAAATTAGAAACGATGTTTTGGTAGATTCTTTGCTTTGAAAGGTTGTCGTCCAAGTAAATTCCCATAACAAAAGACAATCCGCCGGGCTGCCCAAATACTGTGGAGTCGTGAAATAGTTGCGCTTGATGACATTACCAGAATATACCCAATGTGTACCAGAATACAATGCACCACGGTCAGAAGCTCTTGTGCATGTGTTTTTAGCTTCATTATATGAAATCTCTAAATATGCTCCACTATGTGAATATCCAAAATGGGGATTGTTTTCCACAAAACTATGCTTCATGTAATTACCAACAATGCCAATAGAAAACGCTGGTATAAAAGTGAATGATACTTGTGACGTCGTGTTGGCATAGTTATGAGTTAAATAGCACTCTCCTCGATATAATGAAGTAACGTTTCCTTATTGTTATTTGAACTATATTTTATAGTAATATTAGTGTTTTAAAAAGAATAGTTTAAATCTATTATCTTGTTATATATTGTATTGTTATAGTTTAGCAATATCAAATAATATAAAGTATTGCTATAATAATATACTTGTAACAATACAATGTAAAACAAACCACATCTCATAACTACACCCTCTGCTCCCATGTCGTAAAAATGTTATGAGTTATTGTCGAATAATTACCCGAAAAAGAAATACCCATTAACCCCGAGTGTCTAAAAGTGCAATTTTTGACGAGAATATTATTTGATAAATAAAAGCTTATCATATTTTTTCGTGTATATTCAAATATGATATTTTGAATGGTCAAATTATTGAAAGTGTGTACATTAATAAATAATGAAGTGGTTTGTGATATCCACATTTTATTAACAGTAGCCGGCAAGTAGATATACAATTTCTTTATTTCATAAATAATAGAGTACTCACCCTCTTCATCCAATTCTTCTATCAAGTTGTATATATAGAATGGCATTCCACTTGTCATCCCTACGTAATCTGAACCACCCAAAGCTCTATCAATAGTTAATGTTCTTTTGTTTTTATCGATCTTTCCCTTGACTGCTTGGTCCTGTGAAAAGATGAGCCAATACCCTCTCATCCACACAGAGTCATATTTTGCATATTCATCTAATTTGTCATTTGCATAATAAAATGTTTTCCCCATCTTTTCTGGTGCATACGCAGTCCACATATTTCCTCTGTATATATAATTTGGCTGTTGAAGCATAGGATTGCCCTTTGCGCCAGACTCTTGAACAGCTTTGACTTCTCCAGCCATCACAGTTCGCTTGACCGTGAAATAAGCCCCATCATTTTGTGTCGGGACACCACAATCAAAGTGTGTTGATAGTGTCCAGTAATTGGAATCGTTCTTATAGAGATAATAGTACTTTCCATTCACACTCTGTTCACTTTTAAAAGTCGTCTCATTGCCACAAAGAATTTCTTTTCTTAAGATATAATATCCAGTCACATTTGGTGTGAGTTGAACTAAGGTGTCAGTTGGTGGTAATATGTAAATTTGCTCGGTTTGATGTGAAGTGTCTGTGCATTCGTAATTTAAGTACCGAGCCACACAGAACCGTTTGTCGTCGACATAAATTTCAGCATTTGAATTTGCTTCAAAAATTCCTAAGTCAATTCGGTCATACAACTTATCCAAATCACACACTTTAATGTACTTTTTTGAACTCTGAATTTTTTCGTATTGTTCTTTATCGGTTTCCGAGTTTAGTGAACGAAATGAAGATATCGGAATTTTGACTCCACCTGTTATAACTGGCGGGTCTTCATTGGGATATTTGGTCAATGTGAGTGGGCGTAATATTGTACTGTTTTTAAATGTCCATTTTGTGATTTCAATTGAGTTGTTAATAAGTGGATAATACCCCGATTTTATATAAATGGTCACTGGTTTGATAACTTCACTGGAAATTATTGACAACGTTGCCTTTTGTAAAGATTCAAAGGGATGAATTTTTGAATCTCCCGAGTTCAAATCACTACCCATTGTGTTGTCTAAATATATATCTCTTGAAAACACTGTTGCTATCAAAAATACAAGTAATAGATTTTTTATTTTCATGATATTAAGTGACATTCTTGTTATTGATATGTTATTTTTGAGTCTAAATTCGTTATTTTGAATGAATATTTTCGTTACAGTTTAGTTAAAAAGTTCGAATCAAATTTTAACAGGAAGATATTTTAGAGATGGTGTTTTATTTAAGTTAAAAGAAACTACAAATAATTATTATAATGATTGATAAATATTTTAAATTGTATTTTTCGCATTTTTCTTCGAAAATGAAACAAATTATTACTTTAAAAAGGTATTTTTTATTAAAAAAAGAGACACAATAAATTGGTTATTTTTTTATTAAAATAAAATTTTAAAAGAACACCAATCATAAAAATAAATTACTTATGAATTTGCCATCAAATGAAAAAGATACATTGTATCGATGTTTACATAGTCGACAATGTAGCAAAAAACCAGATTACTATTTTTATGACTATTTTAATGCGATTCTAATTATCAATTTGCATTATTCGAAATATAGTCGACGTTTATTTTTTTCCAGACACTATTCACGAGCAAAAAAAACTTTTAACAACTGTGGCAACATTATATGGTAATGTGTTACACTGATTTGTGCAGTAGAGTGGTGTTGAAAACTCCAAAGAATTTTTTATTTGAATAAAATATTTTTAAACGTTTTATTTTAAAAACACAATAATTGAAATTCTAATTTTTATTGTTCATCATTTTTGCATTCCATCCTTTTTAATCAATTTACTCATTTTATAAAAATATTTATTATTAAAAGGGTCTGATCGTATTACAAAATAATTGTTCTGCGTCGATTGTTAAAAAGTTATAACAAAAATCCAACATTTTTGTTTTTAACATATACTCAAAAATATTTATAATAATAATATTAAATTTATAAGACTTTTAAAAGTATAAACAAGTTAAACAACAAATTTATTGATACAAAAACAAACAAAATTTCAATGTAATTAAGTATGTATTAACGTCAATTTAAATTAATCAATTGATGTATTATCAAAGCACCCCATCCCAATATCTGTTATGTGTTCCAAGTTAATTGTTTTGAGCGACACACAATTATCAAAACAGAATACAGAAAGCTTTGTTATTGATGGTGGCAATACAACTTTTTCAAGTTGTGTTGCACACGCAAAACAAAATTCTCCAATTTTTGTGATGTAATTAGGTATCTCAATTTCAGTTATTGTCGTGTTGTTAAAAAACGCCCCTTCATCAATGGAATGAACTTTTTGATCTTTTAAAATATCAATTCCAAAAAATTTCAAATCATTGAATTTTCTTTGACGTTGTTACATATTATTTGATTCTGTTCTAGTTGTTTATAAAAAGTATAACTAACTTCTCCATAATAATAGACTATTTTTTCTTCATTAAATAATATTGAACTCAGTGATGTGCACCCTTCAAATACATCACTTCCAAATGAAATTAAATTGTTTTTAAAATTAACACATTTGAGATTTGAGCAATTCTTAAAACACCCATCTTCCATTTTTTCAAGTGATTGCGGAAATGTGAGGCTTTCAAGTGTAAAACAATTTTTGAATGTAAATTTGCCTATTATTTTAAATGTCTCTGGTAAAACAATTTCTTTCAAGTTGTAACACTTCATAAACGTGCAATGAGGAATACATTCAACATCTCCAAAATTGTCAAATTTGACAAGAGAATTACAACACCAAAAGATTCCTCTTTTTAAATGTTCTATTTTTGGAACCATTTTTAAGTTGTAACAATTCATGAAACATTGTGAATCAAAAACAACTTCTTTTGACTCACAAAATACACTTTCGAGTGAATAACAATAAGCAAAACAATGTTTTCCAACTCTTTTCAAACTTTGAGGGAGTGTCACACTTTTCAATGAAAAACAGTTATAAAACACTTTTTCATTGATTATCTCTAAAGTATTTGAAAATGTGACTTTTTGAAGATAATAAGTGTTGTAGAAAGACATATTTTTAATTTCTTTTGTAACCAACGACGTGTCTACTACTTTCAAGTTATATATATTTATATTACATTTTTTGACTATTTCTATATGTTATGGTATCACTAATTTTTCAATGAAAGTATCATTCAAGTGTGATTGTGGTTTCCAGTCACCGAAATTTTTGATTAACGTATTTTTGTCTTCGTAGTTAATACTTTTGATTACAGAAGTATCAACTTTATCACAAAATTCTTCCATATCTTTATAAGTTAAGTTGACATTATGGAATGTGAAGCCAAAAGCTTTCATTTGAAGATAAAACTCGTAACTCACAACAAGTGTGTTAAAGAAAAAAGTTTTAAAAGTGTTGATTTTTTCGATGTAATTTTCCGAGTTGTTTAAAGTGTTGTTACACGCGGAAAATGTTATTTTCGTCAGTTTGTGACACTTATCAAAAATTGAGTCTCCGAATATTTTGATTGTTGTTGGAAGTACAATTTCACGCAAATATTTATTATTCTTGAAATAAAAACTACTTATTTTTGTGACACTCGATGGTACTTCTATTTTTGTACTACCAAGATAATACTCGACGTTATAATTCAGTTTTGTAGTATTCAGTGTAACATTATGTGTAATATTTAAACTTTCAGTTTCTTCTTTGATATCAAAATGACGACCATTTTCAAATACAACATACTTTAAATTGGTGCACCCACGAACAAAATTGTTTCCAATTTTTGTGACACTTTTTGGGATGTATAGCGACGTCAAATTTTTTGAATTTAAAAACGCGTTCTTACCAATTTCACGTACACTTTGTGGCACAACAAATTCTCTTAAAACTGAGTTTGAAAAGCAGTACTTTGGTATGACTGTGATAGTGTCTGGCAGTTGGACATATTTCGCGTTATTAATATAAAATTCTGATTCCGTCATCAAAAGTACATTTTCGGTGATGACAAATTTCTCAATGAAATTTCCAAAGTCATGAAGTCCAAAATTTGCATCAACAACAGTAGACGGAATATAAACTCTTAAATATTCGCTTGTGTATTTAGCATTTGTGTTAAAAGTATCCAAATCAGCAAGATGCATAGAATCGGAATTAATAGTAACGTTATCTGTTATTTTACTATAATTGTCATATTTAAACACTCTGTTATTGATTTCTTTGTTATTCATTCTATTCAAAACTTCGATTTTAAGTCTTTTGAATATTTCCTGTTCACTTTCAGTTGCGTTATACAAATGTTTCATAAAATCATTTGGAACATTCAAGTGAGTGAGAGAAACACACCTTTCGAAGCACCCACCCATTCCAAAAACAACAGTTTTTCTGAAAACAAGTTCTTTCAGTTGTACACAATTCTCAAATGCAAAACTCCCAACACATCGGACTTTTTGTGGAACTTCAAAGTTTTCAAGTTTTTGACAATTAAAAAATGCGCGTTTACATATGATTTCCAAATTAGAAGATAATGTGATTTTTTTGAGTGAAATGCAATTAGAAAATGCAGACTTTGCGATGATTTCGACTGTGTTGTCCATCACAACTTCTTGCATATTTTGACAATAAGAACACGTCTTACACGGTATACACTTTTTGCCACAAAATGTGATCTTTGTGAGTGTGTTATGGACAAAAACTGATTCATCTATACACATATTTTTTTTTCAATTGTAAAATCATTAAAAGGACAATCACTAAAAGCCTTACTACTTATTGAAGTAATATTTGTATTAGAAATATTAATAATAGACAACGATGTACACCCACTAAAACATGACTCCGGAATTACTTCAAGTAGTTTGGGCAATTCTATTGCTTTCAAAACGCTGCAATTGTTAAACGCATAACTGCCAAGGCGTGTTAATTTTGACGGAAGTTTAATTGATGAGAGGTAATAGCAGTCACTAAATGCGAAATTTGAAATTTCAATAACAGAAGGTAGAAATGCTAGAGATGTTATTTTTAGATGTGCAAAAGATTGTTCGCCTATATTTCTTACAAAGTCTGGGATGTTTCCATTCAAATAAATTTGGTCTTCTTGTGTATAAACCGAGAGGGGACACACGTTGAAATTATTTAATTCCAAAAGGCACTCTTTAACACATTTTGGAAAATTGAAGAAAAATTTTTCGGTGTTCAGTTTGATGTCAAAAGGTGAGAAAAATTGTTGTGTTTGTATGAACTTGAAGAGATTTTTTGTTTTTGAAGTAATTTGAATTGGATTCATTCGAATGCGGTCAAGTACATGTTGATACTTCTTACACACTAAAATGATGTTCATGAAATCGTCATACTCCTTAAGGTATGTTACCACTATTTGAATGGAATACACATCAACTTGTTTCGACACAATTGCTTTAAAAATTAGTTTTATTATTTTTTATTAATAAATTCTAGTTTTTGTTTATTTTTTGAGTTTTCATTACCAAATATTATTTGTTCCAAAAGATTTTTTTTAAATAACATGAACTTCCCTTTTTTATTTTTTAATAATTAAATAAATATAAATCATGTTTTTATAGTTTATAATATATTATTTATAATTAATTGATTAATTGTAATAAGTTGTAGTTATTTCATTTACAGTCAAAGGCGTCTATTTGTAGTAAATCCAGCAGAAAAAAGTATCTTTTTGTCGTAAATGAGTGAATTTTGTAGAAAAATCTTTTAAATATTGAAATTTATATTTTTTGAAAAATTTAGTTTTTAATTCAACAAAAGTTACAGATTCGAGAACAAAATATTTAATTGTCGTACACCAAAATGATTAACCAGTTGTGCGACAAATAATCAAGTTCGACAATTATAATTTAGACAAATAAACGCCTTGACTGGATATTTGGATCAGGGTCGGCCAAACGATCATGTAATTGGAAAAAAACTTAAAAAACAATAAAATGGTAAATAACATTATCATTTTTGAAAAACAAAAAGAAAATGACAAAACACGATTATTTATACCAAAAGATAAAATGAAAAAATATAAAACGATAATTTATAGTAAACACAAAATTGTTTTCAAATTACTTAAAAATACAACAATAAATATATATATTTGTGTTGATATTAGTGTACATTAAACCTTTCAATTGTAAATTATACATGTAAATAAAACTTATTTAAAGTTGCTTTGATATTTGTTTTTAATTTGGGTGATAATTATTATTTTGACTGATTATTATTATAATTTGAATAATCGTTTTTATCAAGAAACCCAAACTAAAGATAAGTTTTACTGTTTTGAAAGTAATGTGGTTTACTCCATTCGAAAAATAATACATTGTCTGTTTTGTATTATTGAAAAGATTATAAAATTACTTCTATTTGATTGTTTAATTAATACTTTTATTTAAAAAGAAGATGAATATACTTTTCAAAACCTTTGTTAAAATGACAAATATAAAAATATATACATAATCAATTAATAATAATATGTATGTTAAAAAAGTAAATTAATTGTTCAAATAATAGTTTTATGTTAAAATCACTAAAAATATTTCTAATATTTTTTATTGGTTGTTAGTATCTTCTGTATATACAACAATTATAAGGAGGAATATTGTTATTCAATTTTAAAAACTTTACATTTTACCATTTCATATGCTTTTTTACTGTTCAATTTTTGTTCTTTAAAACTAAAATTTAACACATTGTAATGATGATTTAAATAATATAAAAATTTTGTTTGAATCGTTAACTATAGTTTTAACATTTTTTAAAAACGTTTTAACAATAAAAAACTTTTTGAATTTTTTGTTGACAATATGCTAAAACTTAAAATGAACTGACACGTATTAGAGATTGCCACGAAGTTGTTTAAAAACTGGATCTTGGCCGACCCTGTTTGGATCCGACTTTTCCATTTTATTGACTTGTTTTGAAAGGAGCAAGCAAAAAAGTAATTTTATGTTTATCCCAACTTCAACAATAAAATTACTTTTTTATTATAATTTATAACTATTTACAAATTGTTTTTACTAAAGTCGTAGTTTCAAAGTGTATTGTTTTTTAATAATAATTACAAAATAATCACATTAAAATCAAAATTCACTAATAATTATAAATTTAACTGTTTTTTTATTCTTTTTTCATTTTTTTATAAACATTTATTTTTTTTGTGAAAATTTTGATTTTATCCGTTTTTTAAATAAAGTCATTCCGAATAAGTGTGCAACTTTATTTTTTCTTTGTTTTTTACTCACAACAAAGGGAAACTCTTTTTTTCAACAATAACAAAAACAATAACAAAAAGTAGAATTAGGTTATAAATCAACATAAAATATAACTCGATATTTAAATGATAAGTTCAAATGCTTGTTTAATTAAAAAACATTAAAAATTTAGAATTCCAATTGTCATACAGAACGAATAAAACGGCGTTGTATATCGATTGTGGATGGAGCAAATGTTAAACATCTCTTTATAAAAGAAAATAATGAGACAAGCCAATTCGTGTGATTCAAAGACTCTTTTGCTGCAAAATTACTATAAACACGAGACTGTTGAATGATGTAACCCAAAAAACTAATTGAGAAAAATTGTGCAACTTTAGTTATAATTTAGTTATAGTATATTAATTAGAGTAATAGTTTTAAAGAAATTTGGTTGTGTTTTCTTGTTTTGTTTCTAAAAAACATATAATTTTTTTACTATAATTATACTATAAACAAAGTTGCACTGACACGTCAAAGTTACACGGTTTAAAGAAAGACTTTAATAAATATTATTAATTATTAATTTAACTTGTTTTTACTTTTGTTGACATTTACAACTTTTATATGTCTGTTTTACACTTTTAATCTTTATTGACATTCACAATAAAACAAATGCAACTTATATCATCACCAACATAAACATTCGTTTTAAAGTTAGGGCTTTATAGTAACACATATATTAATATTCTTTTTATTATTCCCATTCTAGTCAACAACTAGCTTGTGCTTCACTGAAATTTAAAATTGAGGATATAAATAAAATTCATTATTATCTTTACCAGTCATTCATACAGCTCTCTTTTTTTTCTTCTTCACAACAATGAATCGCTCACTCTCCAATTTCATTTAAAACTTTTCTACTTGGTTTCTGCTTAGTACATTTTGGTTCTTTGTTTTCAATCAGTGTTTGTATTTCTTTTTATTATATTATTAATTGATTTGATACAATTTATAATATTGACTGATTATTAAAAATTTCAATATCATTCTTAAAAGATAAGAATGAAATAAAAAATGTGAAAAAAACTGAAACGAATTTTTTGATAATTTATTGTGCACCGAACTCTTCCAATTTTTACAAAAAAAAGAGTTCGAAGTCTCAAGCAATTTTAATAAATAAAATCTTTTCAAAAATTTATTTCTAAGTTTAGAATTCCCATAAGAAAAAATTTCTTTCAAAAAGGGAACTCCAATTCACAATGAAATACTTTTATTTGCCCTTCTTTCTCTTCTTTTCAGCAATCATCACGTTCTTCTTTCTGTTTCGCACTTCGAACAACACACTGAAATACACTTCCAACATTGAGGCTCCCGTGCAACCGCGGACTTATTTCAAGAACTCGTTAATCGATTTTTCTCTTTTAAATTACAAAGGGGAGTGTGGGAAGGTCTTTAAATATCCACCAAACAACAACCACGACGTAGTTATCACTTCATTTGAATTATCTGCTGGCAAATGCTTTCCTGGACAGATGTGGACGACCTTTGAGAGTGTCCGTTCAGCGTCCCCCAATGCTCGGTTTGTGTTCCTACTCTTCAACGACCCGACACACTGTCGCGGGTATAAGAAGCGACTGGACGATTTAAGGGTTGAACCCGTTTATGTTAAACCTACAAGCCGGGGGCATGCCGTTGTTTTGCGATACGTCGAGTACTACAAATACTTAGCAGAACACGTCTCAGAGTTTGATCGAGTAGTACTGATGGACGCGCACGACGTCCTCTTTTTCGATGACTTCTTCGCGACGTTCTCAAAAGACGAAGCTCAGTGGCTGACGGAATGTTATGGAACAAACAAGAAGAGGTGTTTAACAGCTAAGAACTACAAGTTACATGGAAAGTGGTTACAAAGATATTTCTCTGAGGAGATGAGGAAACGATTTGAAGACAACGACTTGACAACTATTAATGGAGGATTCGGGTTTGGGGGGGCTAAGATATGGTCGAACGTGTAAAGTGTATGTCGATAATATGGACGAGA